GCCCTGCCCTGAGTGTGACAGTGGTGGCGCCCTAACCCCCTGATCGGCCCTGCTCTGTGCGTGACAGGGGGTGGCATTGCAACCTCCCGATCCGCCCTGCTCTGTGCATGACGGGGCGGCGCCCCTACTCCCCAATCGGCCCTGCTCTGAGCCTGACCAGGGGCTGCACTTAGGGATTGGGCCTGCCCTCTGCCACCCGGGAGCAGGCCTAAGCCAGCAGGTCGTTATCTTCTGAGGGGTCCCAGACTGCGAGAGGGCACAGGCCGGGCTGGGGGATCCCCCTCCCCCCGCCCCCCGAGTGCACAAATTTTTGTGCACCGGGCCTCTAGTTATATATATAAAAGGCTAATATGCTAAGTGTCCATCTGACCGGTAGCTATGACATGCACTGACTACCAGGGGGAAGACGCTCAACGCAGGAGCTGCCAAGCTGTGGTGACTTGGCAGTGGTGGTTCTTGGGTGACGCACCCCAAAACCAGAGAGGAGGGAGCCCGATTCCTCGCAGGGCCGCATGATTCTACCTTCGGCCATGGGTTATGTTGTTGCTGGGGCACTGTCAGCTCTGAATCTGGCTTACTGTACACTTGCGTTTGTGTTCCACACCCTGTACAACAGCAACTTTGCAGAGTGTTCTCTCGCACTCCAGGACCCCTATGGGGATGTTGGAGAGCCAGTTTGGGCCCGATTCCCACAGGCCAGGCCAAGGGACCCCACCTGCCGGAGGGACCCTGCTCACTCTTCAGATGCCCTTCAAGCCAAGGCGCCACCCCAGGTGTGGCCGGCCATGGAGGGACCATGGGAGTTGGCTCCAGGGGGTGTCCAGCCCTTCTCGACTAGTCCAGCCCCACTGGCCACTTTCTAATGAATTTTCTTTCAATGTGCACGAATCCGTGCACCGGGTCACTAGTAATAATAATAAAAAGGAATGAAAATACAAACACAAAATGATTGGCTATTACCACTTTTATAAGAAAACAATAAAAACAGTGGCTAGATCCCTACTGAATGGAATGAAAGGAATAGTGGTTAAGTTCATAGACACAGAATAGTTGCTACCCAAAATACAGATGGTCCCCTACTTATTTTTTTACTTGATGATGGTGCCAAAGTGATACACATAATAAATTTCACAAGATATTCAATACTTTTATAAAATAGGTTTTGTGTTAGATGACTTTGCCCAACTGTAGGCTGTAAGTGGTTCTAAGCACGTTTAAGGTAGGCTATGCTAAGCTATAATGATCAGTAGGTTAGGCGTATAAATATATTTTCAACTTAATGATATTTAAGTTGAGGAGCATCTGTAGATTTTATTCTCAAACTTAGATAAGTCAGTATTTATGATGATCTTACTTCCACTATTTACTCTCTATAAGTGATAAACTTATCAGTGTTGAAAGATAGACCCATAGAAATTGCTATAGAGCATTTATAAAACATGTTTTTTTTGGATTAATATACAGTAAGTACATTAGTTATTGCTAAATTTCACTTTAATAAAAAAGTAAATACAAAGATTCATTTTATTTAGCAAGACTGAAAATAAAACTAAGACATAAGTTCACACCTTTGGTGTTGTCCAAAACAATTCCTCTAGCTATCAACCCAAGGCAATTAACACAGCATATCATTCATCTTAGAGTCATTACTATAACAAGAATCTAATATTAGAATATTAGAATAGGTGATATAAACAAGAGTTAAGTTCCTATGGCATCTCATCAATGTTATAACAAAACTGTTATAACAATGTTATAACAGAACGAAACAATGTTGAGGACCTGCTGTATTACAAAAATTCTTTCAGTGACTTTTTTTCGTCCTCAACTTAATATGATTATAGATACCTCCAAATTTATTTTATTTTAGTCATATAAAAGTTATTAACAAACTCTTGCTTCCTTGCAAACATTCTGTCCTTATATAAAAATTGATTAAAAACAGTGCTGAATATGAATCACTTCTGCAAAGTTTAATGAGAAACATTCAACCAAGGTGACTTTTCCTTGGAAAATCCTACAACTGAATTTTATAAACAGTTACTTATTTTGATAGAAGTTCCATTTATAAATAGCAGCCACGACTTCACTGCCTACAAAATTGCAGGCGATCACATTTTATGTATTTAGAATTCAAATGTTAAGATCAGATTTTCTAGTAAGTGTTAAAGAAAGTCACACTGACAGACATGGTTGTCCCATGCTAAGGAAAGAGCTGACTCCCATGATTGTACTATTCAGGCAGGTACAGACGATCACTGGATTTAACTAGTGGGTACTACATTTATATATATACTTTAAAGAGGAAGTGACATTAACATTGAAGGAGCAGGGGCTGGTCTTTATTGATGCTCTTCTGTGGTCAAAGAGTATGTAGTGCAAGGGACAGTACTAACATCACAGGATGCTAGTATTAGAGAGGCTTCCAACATAAAGAACCTGAGCAAACGTGCTATTCCAAGAGACTGAGATACTTTTGCTCCTCATCTAGTTGTAGTGAAGTAGGGTTTTCTGTGACCTAGGTAGCAAGTCTCAGAGTAGAGGGAGCAGACAAATATGTAAATCAGGGATTCTGGACGTAATATGCTGCTCCTAACAAGTGATTAATGGCATTGAAATGTGAGTAGGGGGTGTATATGTTAACAATGATAACCCTGTGTTGGTCTTGGGAGACTGCCGGCCTTCTGCGAAGACTTCTGAGCACATTCAAATCCATCATCTCAGGAACATTTGGCTGCCTGCACAAAGTGTGGTCAGGACCAGTGGTTTGAGAATTCTAGTCCCCAAAAGTAGAAAAGAGAAGGGCAACATCTGACACTTTGTTTCTTCCTAGGCAGGCTGAATGTTCCCCAAACTTGCTACTTAGAAGCAAACTGGCGTGAGTTCTGGGGCCATTTGATAAACTAGAAGTCTGGGTGTGGGACCAAAAAAAAAGGGGGGGGGGATTTGAGCCAGAAAGTAGCATTCATAGTTTCACTGAAGGGAAAAGGGGTATAGTGGGAGTATTTTTTTTGGGGGGGGGTGGGAGTAGCTAATAACAAGGTCAAATCCTAAACCCAAGCTGGTCATGGAGAATAGCAACATGCTTGCAAGTTAACTCCAGACAGCTGCCCTCAGTAATTTGGTATACAACTTTTGGGCTCTATAGGCTGGACCCCCCTCCCCCAATGCCCAACTCAAATTCCAAGATGTAGGAAAACCTTCCTTTCATGTTTGCTCTCCCCCATTTCAAATCTTCCAGAGTGACTCAAACTTTTCCTAATTAGTAATGAAAAAGAAAAAATTTGAACAGATTTGGATGCAGCCCTTGCAACCCCGGTAGTTGGGCATGAACTCTGACTTGCACCCACACAGCTGTCTATAGAAATTGAACATTTAATTGATCCCTGTGTGGCTGCCTAGAGCCCTGGATTTAAAAACACGTGCTATCACTACACCAGATAAACTCCCAGCACAAGCCATATACATGAAAATTAGGAACCCTTTTGGATGGCCCTCCTTTCTCTTTCAAAGGAGCTCTTCAATTTTGACTCTCTACAACAATAAAAAGACACGTGATCTTGCCCTGGCTGGGTGGTCAGTTGGTTGAGCATTGTCCCGTGTATCAAAAGGCTGCCGGTTCGATCCCCAGTCAGAACACATATAGGAGGCAACCAATCCATGTTTCTTTCTCTCTCAAATCAATAAAAACAACAACACATATCCTTGGATGAGGATTAAAAAAAAAAGATTTGATCTCAAGGAACATACAGAGTTTGCCAAGCAAGTATGATAGTGGCTAACAGACATAACGATCCCACTTTAGCAGCTATTAAGATACTTGAGTTGTTTGTTCCTGTCTTCTTGATGCTGACTGGAACCAGTGAACAGACTGAGAGGGGAAAAAACACAAAACCCAAATCAAAGAATAGGTGAAAAGTTTTAAAAAGAATTGTGTGGTGATAACCAAACCCTGACTGGCAATGTAGTCCGAAACCAACACTTTAAGCCCTAGAGCAAGGAGGGTAGTGTGTAGAGAAAAGCTAGCAGAATCTAGCACCAGTTCTTCCTTATGAGGGCTCAAGAAGCGTACCTCTGAAATAACTCACGTATGCACTGACAAAAACACCAGGAAAGCCAAGCACTCGCAGCTGCTTCCCCACGGCTCTCCTGACAAACTTACCAGCACATATTTGCTCAGTGTGAGCCTCACCTAGAGGCATCTCCTACCTTGGAGGCAGGGGCGAGGAATCTGGACTGTGTTTTCCCAAATAAGGGAAATCAAATCACCTATAGGCAACACCCTCTATTCTCCCACTCCTGACTGATAGCATCCTTAATTAAGCCAGCTTCAAAGGACTATAATTAGTGCCTGGAGGTCAAAGTTCAAACCCGTGGTTTACAAATCTTAACAGAAGTCATATAACCTACTTAGCTGAATAACATCCCAAAATCATCAATCCCTGCCCTTCCTTCCCATGGGGATAGATTTAAGTCCATTTCTTTTTTTCTCACCACAGTACTTGGAAGACAAAGAAGGTAGTGTGAGAGGGAGGGGCATCCTGGTTCATCATTAAAAAATAAAGATCTCTTTAAGTGTCATCTGAGGTTATATAAAAATTTTTTTTCAATTCTCCTCTGGATCTGCCTCCAAGGGTTCATCTTCTAAGCCAAAACTCAGCTTGTCAGCTAGGCTCTCAAACTGCTTGCCTAGACTGCCTGCAGAGTCCATGAACATGTTAGGGATGTCTTTGCCAAAGTAAATCTTGCTGTTGGAAGCAATGGCCTTGTACTTCATCAGCTGCAGATATTCAGGGGTCAGCTTCAGCTGCAAAAGTAAGAAGTAAAGAAGACTCAGGTGGAGCCAGATTAGAGAAAACTATGGGTGACACTTTTTCAATTGTCATAAGAAGGGTCTCTGTCAAAGACACATGCCCTCTCTCCTTTTCCTGGCCACATAGTTACATTAGTAACAGTGTAACCACTCTCTAGGAGAAAGTTATCTCAGATCTTCAAGACTAGAGCTGCAAGAGTTTTAGGAGTTCCCACGTTTTTTAACACAAACATTTTTAACATGAAAATTACACTTCCATCAAGGCACTGCTAAGGAAAAGGGAAGAACCTGTCCCACACAGCACAGGAGTCATCACTTGCGGCCACGGGGGCTTTGGGTGGAGGAGGTCTTCCCACACTGGGAACTCTCAAACAAAATCAGCCTAAACCCAAATAGGCGTTCTCTTTGCCAGGTGGCACTGATGGTTTACCTTATTCGCTTCGGCCATTTTCATAGCAGTATAGCACTCAGCATCAGCCTTTGCCTTCTCCCGCGCCAGGAACGCAGCGTCTGAGGGGAAAATGCAGTGAACTGAAGTGCAGGGGCTGCCAGGGTCTGGTCGCTGTAACTTGCCCTGGGTGCCTTTGTGACCCTGGGGTGAGTTTTCTCATCTGTGAAATAGGGGTAAAGTGCTCTGCCTGCATCTCCCTGTGGTGGGTCATGAGGAGTCTGTTGCTGTGCCCAACATCTTATCTGAGAGCATTACTGAGAGAAGCACTGCTGCCCAGAGGCACTTCCTGTGTCTGCACTCCTGTTCCGTTTGTAGTTCCATGTGTGGGGAGGGACCCTGCCTCAACCTCCTGGTTCAGAGCTTTCCACCTCATCCCTCGTATGCTACACAGCAAAAGCCCAAAGAAGGCTCTGAATACAGCCAGAGGCGGATCCACCCTAACACTGACTCCCACAAAATAGTTTGGTCCCTCTCCAACTTCATTTCCCTTGTCTTTCCATTAACCATTTCAAAAAGGTTCTGATTAACAGTGGTTAAGCTGGCACAACTCTAAGAGAATTATAAGCCATGGTCCAGACGAACACCTGTGTGGTTTAAGACCTACTTCCACTTCCACTACACAAGCAATATCCTTTCTCAATCTGCCAAGACCAGCTTTCAAGTTGATGCAAAATTTTTGATGTTTACTTCCTTGCCTAGGGAATAAGGCCAGTCTCATGTGAGTAATATCTGTAGCAAAAAGGCTAGGAGGAAAGGTCAGTCTGTGGGTGGGTCCTTACTGCACACCCTCAGCCTGACCCTGGGTGGAAGGAGCCTACAGTCTGACTGCAGTTTGGGTTGCGTGCGGCTGACTTAACTGGCCTTAGCACCTGATGCATGTATTTATAAGAAATAAAAATGTGTTACTTTGCTAAGAGCTCGCTAATGAGGAGCTGCTGATTTGCAAAGTCCTAACTGGCTCCCTAATAGGCCCCTGCGAAGCCGGCAGGCCCCATAATGAGTACAGTGGGGCCTTGACTTATGAGTGTCCCGACTAACGAGTTTTTCGAGATACGAGCCGTCTCTTGGCCAATTTTTTGCTTTGAGTTGCGAGCTAAAATTCGGGTTACGAGTCAGCTTCAGATACCCCACCGCTAGTTGGCGCAGCGAACATCACAGTGAACGCCACAACATCAGCCCAGCATCACGTGTCTCACTCGTTCACTTTAAGATTTGACATACGAGTAATTTGAGTTACGAGCTCCATCACAGAACGAATTAAACTCGTAAGTCAAGGCCCCACTGTATAACTGGACACAGCACTTTGTAGTAGCCTGAAGTTGGGCTTTCAGGTCCCCTTTCTGCCCTAGAATTTGCTCATATAGCACGTGAAGGAAAAAGGTGGGTGATGGGAATGAGGTGAGGGCTGAGGGGCAGGGAACTGAAGGTAAGTGATCTACAGAAAAGTCAGCAAAGGAACACTTCCCTCCAGCTCGTGTTGTTGGTGCTGAAAAGATGTCTTCTTCACACCCGGCTTAACATCTACAGAGAACCTGAGAGCAGGCTGAGGCCAGAGCTATGGAGTTTTCGGACTTCTCAGGAGGGGTGGGTAAAGCAGGCGGGAGAGAGCTGCTTTTTGGCCAGCTTCTTAGTTTACTTCCACTGCCAGACTGTGAGCTCCACGGCAGCAGGGACTCTGTGAGTTCCCTTTTTCTCATACCTAACGTGAGTGCCTAATGGCACACAACTAGCATTTGTTGAATGAATGAATGCTCTCTGAAGTGGAAAATTAATGCCAAATCTCCCCCAAAGTGAAAGCAGAGAAAAAGCGATGTTCCAAATAAATCAAGAGATCTTAGAAGGGGGCTTAAAGAGCAAAGGAAATGATGCCCCCCTCCCCCTGCCACAAAGTGGCTTTGAGGAAAATTCAGGCATTAATTTCACTTACCTTCAATTTCTGAAATCTTCTTCTCAGTTTCCTTCTCCATCACCTTCTGTCCATAGGTGATTTCTGCAACCTGAGCCACCTTTTCTGCCTCTATGTTAATGGAATTGAGAAAAGGCTTAGAGCTGGTATTTCAAGAGTTTGACTCAATTCCACCTTTCACCTGATCAGAGGCCCTGGTGCAGGAGTGTGGGTAAGCACAGATGGAGTCACTGGCCCCAGAGGACAGCCGTGGCAGGGACACATGGGCAGATGGGAGTGACAGTAAGCACAAACCATGACATCAGCTCAAGACAGCAACTGGGGAGACGTGGGCCCAAGTGAGGAGAGTCATTACTCTGATGAAAGCAAGGAACAAGTCCTAACCTCTCTCTTAAGTCACAAGGATTACTTCTCCCAAAGGAATATTTTAAGGAGTAAGGTACTCTCTGAAAAGTTTCTTCCTGCCACCTCACATTAGGAAGTAGTCAGGTTTGTTGTTGATAGTCCAGTATAGTGGTTAAGAACCCAGGTCTGGAGCAGAGTCCTGGTATCTGAGCCCCAGTTCCACCACTTAACTTGCTATCTGACCTTTTATTTAACCTCTCTGTGCTTTAGCTCAGTAAATAGAGGTAAATTATAGTGCCTCCCTCATCTGCTAGTTGTGAGGAGAGAGAATTTACATGTAAGTGCTTAGAAAAGTACATGACTCATAGTAAGTGCTCAGTGTTAGCTATGATCATTATGAATTAATAGTAAGGGCTCCTTTTGTTTAAGAGATGTAGGCCCTGGCTGTTGTGGCCCAGTTGGTTGGAGCATCGTCCTGCACATGGAAAGATGGCAGGTTCAATTTCTGGTCAGGGTACATACCTGGGTTATGAGTTCGAACCCTGGTTAGGGTACATACTGGAGGCAACCGATCAAAGTTTCTCTCTCACATCAATGTTTCTCTCTCTCTCCCCTCCTCTTTAAAATCAATAAAAAGCATATCTGGTGAGGAGAAAAAAAAAAAGAAGAGATATTTGGAAACTCAAAACTTATCACCCCAGGCCACGATATGACAATTTCAGCTTTGCTTCTGGGAGCATGACAGCCACTCCTACATGTGGCAAGGGTTTGGAGAACCATGCGGTTTAACTGTGTCTAAGGTTTCCTCGACTCTCTCCACCATCCCCAGCCCTTCTGCCCTGAAAGGGGGCCATAGAACCACTTCCAGACCAATGAGGGCCTTCTTCCGCTCTGTCTCAGCTTCTTTTTCCACCACCTTCTGTTTCTGGGCTGCAATGAGAAGCTTTGTCTTCTCACTTTCCCTGGAGGGGAATAAAAGCATACGGTTGTGAGGCCACTATGGAAAAGCTTCCGAGGAACCTCACGGTCCCCTGGAGAAGCCAAACTCTTCTGAGGAGAGGAACTCTGATTTCTTACTCTCCCCTGGTGGGCTGTTCAATGTCCCAGGTAAAAGAAAATTTGTTGCAGACAGTAGTATGGCTCTGCTCCTCCTCCAAAATAATTCATTTGTGGGAAACAGAGCATAATTTACTTATTGTCAGCTGCCATCTGCTTTAAGTGGCCATTAGTAAAATACACCTGCCTGCCCACTTAATCGTCTTTCCCTCCTATCTTCTTTGGCATGAGCCATGAAGCACAAAAAAGGCGCCCCCTGGCCCCTTTAAAAGCATCACTGCTCAAAAGGGCTTCTCCGTGGCTCTCAATCACAGTTACAGAGCCCAGGTGACTGTCCCGACACGCCTGCTCCATCCTACAGTGCAATGGGCTGTGACAAATACTCAAGGAGGAGAATAAAAGCATGGCACAGCTTCAGTTAACTCTGGGATGGGATGAGGTGGGAGGTGGAAGAGAGTGGTGGTTACAGCTTAGGCAGAGGATACTCACATCAACTCGTAGTTTCTGCGGATCGCCTCAGGTATATTGGGCTTTGTCACCCGCACAGCCTGGGGAAGGATAAAAAGAGCACCTGATGGGAAGGTGAGAGTGGTACAGGACCTAAGCAGCTCCCCTTGGTCCTTGATCTTCCTGCACAGAAAGGACATCCCTTGAAAGAGGGGATGCACCTTCATCAGGGGACACTCCCACGGTGGCAATGCTTACTTGGATGACAAGCCCAGGGGCCATGGAGGTCAGGTCCTGTTGCAAAGCCAGTTTGAGATTTTCATCAATTTGATCTGGAATCAAGAAAGACAGGAAAAGGAGTTGTCATACTATCTAGGTAGGGTGGAGGGAAATATGGGGTAGAGGTAAAGCTAAAACACCAGTTCAAGAATGTACCTCACAAGCAAAAGGTCTTCCCAAGCAAAAGGTCTGGGCTATGCTTATCATAGCCCAGAAACATAAAGTTCTCCAGCAAGACTTTCGGAGCAACATGCCTCCGCAGTCCCTCTACATAGCTAGATGTGAGAGTATCCTTTCCCTGTGACCTTGAGAGAGAATCCCTAGGTTATTGAAAATATCAACCTTGCCCAAAAGGGAACTGAGCTTTAAAAAGGAAAAGAACAAACAATAATTCTAGCACATTTCTTGAGAAAGGCAACAGTCTTTCCCAAGACAACAGGAGCAAAACAGAAGGCAGGCACCCAGTTTTCACGAAAAAAGAAGATGGAATGGCTCTGTTAAATATTTTGAAAAGAGCTGAGCACATTCAATCTAGTAATTTTAGCTGTTTCTGAAACAAAAACAGATTCTGACATCAAGGAAGCCCCAAGGAAGACTATTTCCATTAGGAACTCCACCAAATGACACAAGGGGAAAATAAAAATTTACAGTTCTGGAAACGAGTCCAAGTCTTTTGATGTGTTGTTTGCTTTGGTCCTGATTCCTTTGCCTGGAATTCACATGTGGGTCGTTTCACAGACAAGTGTAGGAAGAGCTATAACTGATTCCCTTCTAGCTATGATCCCAGGACAGCAGCACCAGGCTGCCTTCTCTGGCCTGAGAGCCTCAATAAGATCCCAGAAAAAGACTCCATGAAACCAAGTTGGGACATCTAAACTCAATCATCTCCCTCATTGTCAGCTGCCATCTGTTTTAAGCGGCCATTCCTGGTCACTTATGCCCAAACAGGAGAACTTTGAGAAATAGCAAATCTAACTCCTGCCTTTTACAGATGCCCAAACTGAAGTCCACGGAGGCTGAGATGTGCTCAAGCCAGTTAGTAACCAAAATAATGAACTTGATTAATTATTATGTTTTGATTATTAGGGTTTAAAACAGTAATTTTTCCAACTGTCATATCAGTGAGCGAGGGATTTGAATGTTTCCATTTTTTGGCTATGTTCTCACAAGCCTCTTAGCATGGAGGGAGAAATGCTCATAAAGGCAGTACCTTGCACCTGACACTGGCCTAACAATTTGACAGCTAGGGAGAAACATTACATTTTATATTTTCTATTTTAAATAGGATACCCACCAAACTTTAAGTAAGATCGCCTGTACCCTCTGTAAGTTAATAACACAGTCATTTATCAGACCAAATTATATCTGAGTCAAAGTAGAAATCTGTGGCCCTGGGCTGGTAACTTTCAGGAAAATCTGGAAGAAATATTTTGAAATGTGGTTTATTACCAAAGTAATACTACTAATAAGTTGTTTATGTTACAGTTATGCTGATAAATGCTAGTTAAGTTATATTATTAAATATACACAGGTTCTCCAGGTAAACTCTTGAACAAGTCCTAGATAATCCTATCTAATAAAAGAGTAATATGCAAATTAACCATCACTCCTCACTCTGTCACTCCGTCACAAAGATGGCTGTGGCCACGGAGCTGGAGCGAGCAGGAGGCTTGCGTTGCCTCCGGCAATGGAGGAAGCCAAGCTTCCCGCCTGCCCTGGCCGGCCCTGAGCTCCGCTCAAGGCTATAAAATTTCAATTATAGAAGATAAATAAATCCCAGATACCTGCTTCCAGTCAGCGTGGCCTCCGCTCAAGGAGGGGATGGGAGCCTAGGTTGCCAGGGGCAACCCAACCTGGGCGCCGCTTGAGGCTACAAAGTTTCAATTATAGAAGTTAAATAAATCCCAGATACCTGCTTCCAGCCCGTGGGCGTGGCCAGCCTGAAAACGGCCATCAGCCCCTCACCCAGGCTGGCCAGGCACCCCAGCGGGACGTCCCCCCAATGAAGGGGGTGTGACCAGCCTGCAAACAGCAATCAGCCCCTCACCCAGGCTGGCCAGGCACCCCAGCGGGACACCCCTCCCCGCCTCCCGAAGGGGCTGTGGCCAGCCTGAAAACAGCACCCATATTCTCCAAGAAGAAAGAAAGACAAACAGAAAATTCCCATGTTCCTGGAACTATACCTGGCAATACAAAAAGTACAAAGGAAAAATGAACACCAGTCTCATTGGTCAGAGATGATCATTGTCCATAATCGGGAGCATCAGTTTAGATGTCATTCTGAACATAAACAGGTCGACATTAAGCGGTAGGTAGCTTTATAAATGGAAATAATTTTAGAAAACTGGGATCATACATAGCATCCTATATAATAAAAGGGTAATATGCAAATTGACCCTAACAGCAGAACGATTGGGAATGACTGGTCACTATGACACACACTGACACCAGGGGGAAGACGCTCAATTCAGGAGATGCCCCCTGGTGGTCTGTGCGCTCCCACAGGGGGAGCTCTGCTCAGCCAAAAGGCAGGCTGACAGCTGCCAGCACAGCGGTGGTGGCGGGAGACTCTCCCGCCTCCTCAGCAGCGCTAAGGATGTCTGACTGCAGCTTAGGCCTGCTCCCTGCTGGCAAGTGGACATCCCCTGAGGGCTCCCGGGCTGCCAGAGGGATGTCTGACTGCCAGCTTAGGTCCAATCCCCTGGGGAGCGGGCCTAAGCCAGCAGGTGGACATCCCCCGAGGGGTCCCAGACTGCAAGAGGGCACAGGCTGGGCTGAGGGACCCCCTGAGTGCACAAATTTTTGTGCACTGGGCCTCTAGTTTATATATGTATGAAAGGCTAATATGCTAAGTGTCCCTCCGACTGTCTGACCAGTCGCTATGACGTGCACTGACCACCAGGGGAGAGATGCTCAACGCAGGAGCTGCTGTGATGCGCACTGGCCATTTACAAAGAAATGGCAACACGGACCTGGCACTGACAAATCAACACTCGGCTTCCCCCAAGTGGGACACAGGCCCCACCACCGCCCTGGAGCGACAGCCCACCAAATCGCAGCCAACGCTGCCAAGACCCCATGGCACAAAATGCGGCCCCCAGCCCAGCCCAGAAATGGTCACTGTGGGTGCCGGGTAATGACATCACGTAGTAATTCCTGGCTTCCTCTCCCTACTGATTAGCCTCCTTGGAGTTTCTTCAGCCCAGGAACACGACTTGCTTTATAGCCAGGTGCAAGCATTTTACACTTTAACCAAATGTTTGTGAAGCGTTTTCACATGCCTCATCTCATTTGATCCTCACATAAGCCCTGGAGTAGGTAGCTGGGGACTCAGTAGAATCCTATTTTCTTTTCATTAGCCAGAAAATGGAGATTTAGAAAGTTTAGAAACTTGACCTAACTGAAAAGAAATAAGAAATGGTGGACCTTGAAAATGACTTCAGGTTTTCTCACTGCGCAGAATATATTCAAACACTGCTGCAGTTAAATATTTTACCCTTTGTTCTCCCTGCGAAATCTACAATAATCTGCTTCATGTTGATATTTACTGCTATGTTGTTAACAATGACCTGAAAGAGAAGTTGAGGTGCTTCACTGGGCTGGAAAAAGTTTAGCAAATCAGAAAGCAGGTCGAGGTAAGCAAGTTTATCTGTAATAATTAAAAAAGTAATATGCTAATTAGAGCGGATGTCATTGCAGACATCATTGCAGACATCCTTCCGGACGAAGCTGGGGCCGGAGTGAAGCCCAGGTCCTGGGTGCCAGAGGGAAGTTGGTGCCGGCAACTGGGGGAAGAAAGGCCTACTCTTGCTTGAATTTTGTGCATCGGGCCTCTATATATATATAAAGCTCTCGCTGGCGCCAATCACATACGTGTGTTTCCATCTGTCACTGTCAATCATGAAATTGGTTGACACTTCTATTATAGAGAAAGGGCGAATAGCAATTATTAAAATATTTCTTCTAATTAATTTCCTTTCAATGTGCACGAATCCATGCACCAGGCCACTAGTATTTTTATAAAATGGGCAAAGAGGATGTGTCAGAGTAAGCAGTGATGAGAACTATGTAGTCCTGTTGAAAGTCAGGGCTAGGAATCTTGAGAGGACGGAACTAGAAAAAAAAAAACTTTTGATGGTTAAGGAATAGGATTAGAGACTCTAGTGTCTCCTTTACAGATGCAAATATAGTCTTAGCAAAACAGTGCTTTCAGGCAAGATTGAACTTTAAAAAAGAAAAAATACCTCAAATTGCATTTTCTCAGCTACTTTGTACAGAAGCTATACTTTACTAAGACAGTAAGAAGTTTTCTAATGCAAAACAATTTCATATTTTAATTTCCTCCTCATGGAAATTAGAGATCCTTTGTCTTTTTTAGTTTCAAATGTTCATTTAATGGCACATGTTTGTAAAACAAGGGCTAGAAAGAAAACTAATTTTATAAAATTCTATTGGTTTGAGGTTAAAAATATAGCAAATTTACCAAATTTTTTCTTTTTCTTTTTTTAAAATATATTTTTATTGATTTCAGAGAGGAAGGGAGAGAGAGAAACATCAATGATGAGAGAGAATCATCAATCGGCTGCCTTCTGTACGACCCCTACTGGGGATCCAGCCTGCAACCCAGGCATGTGCCCTTGACCAGAATCGAACCCCGGACCCTTCAGTCCCCAGGCCCATGCTCTATCCACTGAGCAAAACCGGCTAGAGCCCAAATTTTTTCTAAAAGCACACTGAATCCAACCCCAATAAGAGATTGTAAGCCCTATATTGTGAATTTAGATACATTTTCTGCTGCAGAAAATTATAAGTGATTCTGATAATTTCCCAAATTTGAAACAGTGTAAAAGGCTGTTTGCTTAATTAAGGCCATTGGCAACATCAATGATTCCTCCTTCCGTGTACTCTAAAAATGTTCTCACTCAGGGTCCTTTTTATGAAGATTTCTGGGAAAAATAACTGCCCAGTCCTACTGTCAGGAATAGTTGTACTATGGGTTGAAAAACCATTTACTTTTAGCACTGGCTAGTAGACAACTTCTAGTAGCAAGTTTAAATAGAACATTTTTCCACCTAAGAGCTATAACAATTACTGAAATGTTTCCTTCCTTTGTTGCTGAAGTCAGGTTATTTTTACTTTGACCAGGAAAAAAGGACAAGAAATGTCTACTTAAGAATGTAGACCCTTTTTGTTCTAAGCTTTTTCCTATTCATTTCTGTAAGTATAGGATAAACAAACAAATAAAACCCCCACAAAGGTTCCAGAAACTGTAAGTAGCTATGGTCCTTGTCCCACTTCTAGAATTAAAGGTGAGCCGTCCCGTTTTCCTCACCCTTCCCTGGGTGCCTTTCATTCAGTGATGTGATGAAAAGCACATAAAGTGAGGGCCAGAAGAGAGAGGTTCTAGCTTCAGCCACTACCAATTAGCTCTACGACTTCTTTTGTGGTTCAGTACCCTTATCTTAAAATGAGGATGTTGAGTTGGATAATCTCTCAGGTTCTTCTAGAACTGAGCCTGTCTTCATTACAGAATATTTTAGGGACCTTGGAAACACATTTCCATTCCAGTCCTCTGATTCAGGCCAGTAGTGAGTCCTGTAGTCCACTGTTACTTCTGTGCCCAAAGCTCAACCACTCTCATGGTCTTTCATTGTCACCAGCATTTTCTAGGAATGCCCTTTGTGACCAGTTCCTGAGCACAGGATCCTTTAACAGCTCCTGTCCAGCAGTGCCCATTCTACCCTGTGGGTAGCTCAAAAGTAGGCAGTGGCGGGGGGGAAGCAGGGCTGTCAATGCAGGCTCTGATCAGAAGAGACTTCTTACCAAAGAGCTCAATGTAGACCTCCTGAAGTGTATGCACACTGCAGAACTGGTTCAGTTCATGGTGGATCTTGTTGAAGATGAGGGCCTTGTCATAGTCGGCAGTATAGTTCTTCACTATATCATATACTGGAAGGGAAGGAGAGATTCCAGAATAAAAGGCAGGTCTCAAAACTTGCAAAACAGAGACAGACTCATAGATAGAGAGCAGGCTGACAGCTGTTGGGAAGGGTGACTGGCATTGGGAGGGGGGTGGAGAAATTGTGCAAAAAAACACTAATGGATATAAATAGTGTGGTGACTGACAGGAGGTGTGGGGTGGAGAGAGGTGGAGGAGAGTATGGGGGAGTAAATGGTGACGAACACACAATACAGTGTAAAGATGATAGGTTGTAGAATTGTGCACCTGAAACCAGTATAATTTTGTTAACTAGTATCACCCCAATCTATATATATAAAAAGCCAGTGACCAGAATGCTGTAATGACCAGAATGACCAGTCACTATGACGCCCACTGCCGCCAGCAAACAGGCCTGATCGTGGGTGGGGCCAGCCAGCCAACCTCCCACAGCCCCTCCCCCTTGCCGGCCCCACCCCGATTACCCCACTTACCCCTACAGGTGGCAGGGCTGGCTGGCCAATTGCCCTCGGCCCCTCCCTGCTGGCCGTCCCAGCCCTGATAGGGTCCTGATTGGGCCCCGATTGGGGCGGGACAGTCGGCCAACCTCCCACCATCTCCTACTCCTGACAGGCCCGGCCCGATCTGCCCCGATCAGGGCCAGGCTGACCGGACCACACCTGTGCATGAATTTGTGCACTGGGCCTCTAGTAAATTCAATAAAAAGGGAAAAAAATACAAAAACCTTTCTCAGACATCGAAGTTCTTCCTTCCTGAGGTGCTGCAACAGACACTAGAGTAGCATCTTGGGGAAAGTAAGCTGGTGGCGGGGGTCAACTGGAAAACTGTACCTGCACTTGGGACCAGGAAGTTCACCACTTCAATTCTGTCAAAGTAGATCATCACACCACCACTAAGAGGAAGAATGGACAAAGAAGTCACTGGTAAGCTCTGGAATATAGTTACAAAACCATTCCCAAACCTAAGAAAATCAACAATAATTCCTTAACATTATCTAATACCCAGTCATTCAAATTTTCCCAATGATTCCCATTATGGACTGAATTATGTGCCCTCCTAAATCCGTATGTTAAAACTCTAACCCCCAATGTAACTATACTAGAGGATAGGGCCCTTAGTTAAGGTTAAATGAAGTCATAACTTGTAACTGATTGGACTTGTAAAAAAAAAAAAAAAAGGAAAAGTCATCTCTTTCTCCTCCTTTTCTTCCACATGCAGAGAAAAGGCTGTATGAGGACAAAGCAAGGCAGCCAACTGTAAGCCAGGAAGACAGGCTTCACCAGAAACCAATCCTGCCGGCACCTTGATCTTGGACTTCGAGCTTCTATAACTTGAGAAAATAAATTTCTGTTGTTTAAGCCATCCAGTCTGTGGTATTGTGATGGCAGCCCTAGCTGACTAATAATGGTTTCATCAAGTTTTTATAGCTGTTAGTTTTGGACCAGATTCTAATTAAGGGTCACCTTTGTATATGTTTGTCTTTTAAGTCTCCTTTTCAACCCAGTGCCCCTCCAAATATGACTTTGTGCCAAGATTAGACCTGTTATCCTGTGGGTTGTTCCTCTCCAAATGTTTCCTGTGGTGGTGTTTACTGTGCTACTCTATCCCAGTTTAGACCTTCTTTACTTTCCAGCCAGATCACTAAGGTGGTATCGTCTCTGGATTTCCTGCCCTTAAGGCCTCCCCACCATTAAGACATTCTCTATAGTTAGTTATGCTAAAGTTATTTTCCTCTATCAAGTCACTATCCGCTAAACACCTTTAGAGGATCCTCACTTCTAACAGAAAAAGTTCAAACTTCTTACAGCATTTGAAGCCCTTCCAAAACTGTCTAACTTCTGTGATTTTTCTCTACTGCACTCTGCCACCTAGTGGAATCAGAACATAGGGAGCTAGGGGGCAGGGAACATGATAAAACCAAGGGGTGCCTCCCTTTCCACTGCCTCTTACTGCAGCCAGCCCGACAGCCCTTTCTCTTATTTGGGCTTAATAGCTTTATTCCAGGCACCTTACCTAGTCCCACAAGGTACATTCTTCACCTCATCTGTCTGCAGTGTGGTCTGGAAATAGAGGAGACACAAAATGCTGTAAGATGGGCAGTGACAAACAAGTGACTTATTTTTGGAATCCCAAGTGTCCTTGTTCTTTAGTACCTATTTGGGTTGAGCTTTGTCTCTGTTAACCATGAATACCCCTCTGAATCCTCCTGATATACAAGGTGTGAGACTAGCCAAACAAAAGTACTTTGCCAGCTTCCACCGTAAGTGAACCACTACATGAACGAGCTGGGTAACACTAGTTTAGTGAAAAAGACCCTGGACTAGGAATCCCAACATCTGTGCTTACTTCTACCTCTTCCATTTACTGGTCTTGAAACAGATTCTTTACTTAACCTGTCTCAGCCTATCGCACCTGCTCAGCCCATTCTCAGGATCACTGTGAGACCCAAATGAGATAATGTGCATAAATGCACTTTGAAAACCATAAAGCAGAGTACCTGGCAGAAGAAAGTTACAAGGATAATGCTGATGAAGTATCCCAGGATATTGGACATACTTCAAAGATGGCTAGTCTAACGTAGGGAGGCTTTAGGTCTGTCATAAGTAATCCTACTCCTATTTTTTAGATGTCATATCCCAAGTTCAACTTCCATCTTCTTTACCCAAAATTATGTTCACATCTCTGAAGTTCAAATAAGAACCAGCAAAATTACCATTTTATTTCCATCCAACTTGGTAGCCTATGATTTAAAATGCAGACACACACACTCTACTTTTCCTTCTATCCATTCAAACAGATTCTTCTATGGCTTTGTCTTGAAGTGAAGAAACACTTCCCAGGGGGGACTGACGGGCCAAGGCAAGGACTCCATTCAACCACTTCAACAATCAAGTAAAGCTTCAGAGTTAATGGAGCCTCATTCTTCATATTTGTAAAACTTATTCTTAAATGACTCCTTGAAAAGGCATCACACTCACCCAGTGGCTAAATAATTCCAAATCATGCATTCATCAACACCCCAAATCTGCAGTTGTCCAGCCATCCCACACAAGCCAAATATACCTGCACAGATTTATATGATGTGATGAAAGGGAGCATGAGATGGAAACCAGGGCCGCTGGTGGAAGTCAGCAGGGCACCGCCTCTGCAGAGGAGAAGAGGCAGCTTCAGTTTAGCAAGAGGTACCTATTACATTGATATTCTTTGGGCCAACTATCCCTTCAGCCCCATCAATGTTTAATATAGAGTGAAAAGTGCCAGAGCCACCTCCACAGATCCCTTCCTTCCTCCCAGCTAGACCCGAATATTCTAGGAAGCCTAATGCTAAAACATAAAACCATTATTTATGCTTTCACAGCAAGAAAAATAGGCACTCAGGCGAAGTGGAATAAAGGCAGCAGAATTCCTGGCTATACTTGAGAGGAAGTCTATTTTACTTTGTTGTGTCCGTTGAACTTGTGGCAATCCATTTGGGCACTTAAATCCAATAATACAGTAATCAATGAGCTGCACTAGTGTTGGATTCCAGTGACATCAACACCAAAAGAATAATTTTAAGTATATTTTACAAATCATTTTAATATATATATTTGGCAGTAGAGTTACCGTTCTAATCAAGTTGTATGTAAATGGTAATAAAACTAAAAGCCATTTGGGGGGACATATAAGTAGATGGTAGGGAGAAATAATTAAAGGGGACTGGGAAACCCAACCAGACTTTTAGAACTTGCTAGTGGCAATCTAGAAATAAGCATCACAGGGCACATGAAAAGAAGGGGCCATAAAGACTTCAAGCAAAATACTTGGTTATGGAGGTTACTAAAAGGAAAGTAATCCCACACGTAAGTGCTTCTTTGCTTTACATTATAAAGTTAAACTTTTTTTTTTAAAAGGAGCAATAAAATAAATAGTGACATAATGAGCTTATAAGAACCACTATCCTAGGGTTTGCCTTTACTAAAAGGAAAGTAATCCCACACGTAAGTGCTTCTTTGCTTTACATTATAAAGTTAAACTTTTTTTTTTTAAAAGGAGCAATAAAATAAATAGTGACATAATGAGCTTATAAGAACCACTATCCTAGGGTTTGCCTTGATTGAAATAAATTAACCTGCAGGTGCTTTCATTTTTCCTGAAATGTTAATTTTAAAGAGTAGGTTCAAATTCGCAGAGCAGACTATCTTCTCAAGTTGCCATCAAGTCCTGGTACTCAGCAGAGGTAACCTTGTGGCACCAAGATGCTGAGAGGGATGTAGGAGAGAACAATGTTTTGGAGATAATCTGCAAGGAGCTCTGGCTGCCTTTAGGTTTTGTCTCAATCTCTATATACAGTTATCAATTGCCATCCATCAATTTAGACTACTAAGTTTTATTTTACATTTGTGTGTGTGTGTGCACACGCGCAGGTGCGCACATATTCCCCATCCCCATGGTCACTAACATAAAAGCTCAACTAAAAGTCTTCCATATTCGCCCTAACCGGTTTGGCTCAGTGGATAGAGCGTCGGCCTGCGGACTGAAGGGTCCCAGGTTCGATTTTGGTCAAGGGCATGTACCTTGGTTGCGGGCACATCCCCAGTAGGGGGTATGCAGGAGGCAGCTGATCCATGTTTCTAACTCTCTATCCCTCTCCCTTCCTCTCTGTAAAAAAAAAAAAATAAAAAAATTTTTTTAAAAAAGACTTCCATATTCAACAAAACATAAACATAGATATTCAGCAGAATCTGCTAGACAGTGACTAGGAAAGAGTCATTTCACAGAAAGTTGCAAGCTCTTCCCTGTCTCTGCCTTACCTGTAATATACCCCAATGTGTCCCTCTTCTATCTTGTGCACGGCTGAGAATAGAGCTGCACAAAAGAAACTGGTAGCCACAGCCACAACTGCTCCCAACTGAGCCATCAGTGAGCCTTTATCCTAGGGAAGAAGACAGGGGAAAACGTGTCTGGTCTGCCCTGCAGGGGAGGACCTCACCAAGCGGAGTTCCCTGGCTCACAGCTGGTCTGCCGGGTGAGCACGAGGCCCGATCTACCGCGCTCTCCATCCCTGCTCTCAGCCAGCACTGCCATCCCCTATCGGTGGGGTTCTAGTCCCCACCTCGCTGAAGAGGCAGCCATTCCACACAGCCGCCCCCCACGGGAGGAGCAGTGCCAGCTGGGCAGCGTTCAGAACACAGCCTTCCCTTCCTGTGAACACCAACGTGCTGTCACAGGAGCCGCTCCCGCTGGGAAAAGGGGAAGAGGCAGCTGCAGTAAGTTGGCGCAAATTACAGAGGAAGTCAAATGACAGGCAGTTGTGGCATGTAATTCTGGTCGGAGCCTCCCGCTCCTAATTGCCTGCCACTTCAAAGGAAGCCATTATTTACTCCTTTCAGATGCCGGGGCGACAGAGACAGCATGCAAACCGAGGCCCAAGGGGGGCTCTCTGGCCTTCGTCCCCCTCCCCGGTTACTCCTTTGGTCCTCGTGGGAGAGGGCTGACCAAGGCCGTGGCCACGCTCCCTCCCATACACCTGGCCGGCACTTGGCACTTGACAGGTCCCTAAGCCCAGGGCTAGAGAAAAGGGGTCCCCCAGGCTGGAAAGACTCTGGACTTCTGGGTCCCACTGTGTTCGGGCACCGGCATGCGGAAGACTTGGCCTCCGGAGACTCATGTCCTGAACACGGAGTGATCTGCAACAACTAGGGCCATGACACCGAAGTGCACAGCCGGGCGCGCCGGGGCCAACCCGCGCAGGGCGCAGGGCGCGGGTTCTGCCTCGTGGGTCTGAGAAGGCAGCGCCGACATCGGCGAGGCGCTCGTTTTACCTGGACGGCCTCCGGCTACGGATTTGCAGCAACGTGCTTTCTGCAAATGCCCTTCCCTTCCGATGTCACCCCCGCCCCACCTCGCGCCCCTTCCTAGAGAGAAGGGCGCGCATCCCCAGAGCTCTGGGTAGGGGCCGGGGCTCCAAGCGCCTCTGCCCGGTCCCGCTCGGGAGCTAGAGAGAGAGAAAGAGAGAGAGATTCGGGAGAGAGAGGGTTGCTGTCTCGCTCCGGGGGGACAAGAGGCTGCAGGGGTGGGCCCGGGCGCCGCAGCTGGGCCCAGTGCACGCACTAAGGGGCGGGGGCCGCGTACCAGGTGTCCCTCCAGGCGCTCCGTACCCGTCCGAACCCCTTCGCAACCGCAGAAACCGCCACACCCCTCAGCCCGCCACTTCCTTCCGGGCCCGTCGCGGCGATGACGCCTTTAGTTCACGCGAGAAGACCACACCTCCTCATCTCCGTTAGCCCCGCCCCGCGCTCCGAACGGTCAGTGTCCCCGGGAGGCCGCCAGGGGGCGCCCGCGACAAGGCCCGGGAGGTCTGGGATCTGGGGCCAGGGTTTCAGGGGTGGGGTGGTGCGGAGCGTCTGGCGAGTGACCCCTGGGAGGACGCGAGTGGTGCTGAGCGTGTCCTTTCCCGACGTTTTGGCTCTGGAGATTGCTCTGGATTCTCCTCCACATTAACAGGTCAAGACTGTTTTTTTTTTTTTGCTGGAGCAGGTACCAGCGATTTGCAACAGTTTTTAGCCCTCTGCTCGCTGCTTTTCTGCAGCACCGCTCAATGAAACATCTTCTCAATGTGCAGATTAGCACCATTACGTCGCTAATGAACAGTCCCTACCTTCAATTGCCCTTTATGCTTTTGTAGGAGCTTTGGCTTTTGAGGTCCCTACGGCATCATAAAGTAGATTAAGGAGGAATTATTATTCCAATTTTAGTGGACAAAATTCTAAATTCAGTGAGGTGCGAGGGTAACAGTGGATGGAAGCCTCCTTGGCGCTTCCTTAACATCAGGAGCTTAATTAACGGCCTTGGTAACTCCTGCCACAGGTGAAGGGGCTGTGCACCTCCTCGTCTACCCGGCTAGACTGTAAGTCCTCTGAGGGCAGAGGTTGCTCCTCGCTCAGCGTGCGGGGCACTGGGGTGCTTAGTAAGCACAGACGGAGCAGTGGAACCAGCGCCAGGATCCAGGTGTTGTGTCTCTCACTCTAAGGGCCTCAAGTTGTCCACAGCTTTCACTGTTCGGCAGCATCATATTGGGACATTGCTAATTCAGCCATTGAAGTTATTTTGTTTGTGGAAGAGAAGGAGTCCACTTAATTACCGCCTTCAGTAAGTGAAAAGCTTGTATACAGGCAGATAGCAAGCTGGTGGTGTTAGATTTAGGACCCAGGAAAAAGGAAAATGTCGTTTCCCAGGCATGGCTGCTTGGGATTCGCTTGGGATCACCCTGGGTTTGCTCTGGGTGAGTTTGTGTTGGGAAGTTTCAGGATTATGTGGTTAAGTCCACACTAGTAGGCTGCATGGTGCGGCCTGGGAGCTCTGTGCCCACCTCCTCTGTAAATGAGGGCCTATCCTCTCCCCACCTTGTTCCTACAATTTCCCCCTAGTCCCCAGTTGGCCAGTCTCCTGATTGATCTTATCAGAACTTGTTCAGTGATATAATGCAGACGGCATGCTTAATAGATGTTTATTTTAAAGTTGAGTGAATGAATAAGAGAAATGGAAATATTGGGGTTCATCAGGCCCAAGGAATGGGGCTCAACCTGAAGCATAAAGGGTTTAACTTAAGTTGTAATTCAAGAATTTCCTGACTATTAAACTTGGTAATGAACTATGAGCAGAAGTAGAATTTTGTTCTCAGGCTGGCTTTTTTACCAGGCTTGAGTTGTTTAGTTGTGGCCTTGCCTAGGGGCAGGCGGTGGATTTTAGTAGATCGTTTCTGAAAATCCCTTCCTTAAGAGACCTGTGATGGTTATGACTCAGTGTGCAAAGTTATCAGGCAGGTAAGTCTGTCATGATTTATTTAACAAAAGTGTTTAAAAATCCATTAAAAAAAACTTGCAGTATAGTGGCTAAGCACAGATATTCCACAGTCAGTCTGCCAGGATTTAAATTCACCCAATCCCCCAGGTTTTTATTAGTCATGTGATCTTGGTAAATCACTTAATGTGCCTCAGTTTCTTCATATGTAAAATGGTGGTAATAATAATAGTATGAACTGTTCTTAGGGTTAAATGACTGATTAAGAAAAGCATGTACAATGTTTGGCACATTTTAAGGGTTCATTGTATTAGCTATTGTTGTTTCAAATAGCAAATTCCCTTAATGTGTTCTTACCTGTTTGTGGATTCAGATTATTAATGTAACAGAAGGTGAGAGAAAGGCAAACTCAAAGTTATGTGGTATTGAGTAATAACCAAATGAAAGTATACCTCAATAATACAGATTTCATAAAACATTATTAAGTGCTATGTACCAGGCCCTATGCCTTTCTTGTTTTTTATAATCGTCAGCTCAGCCCTTTGAGTTCAATTTCATTTTAGAGGAGGAAGTTGAAGCTTAGAGAAGTTCAGGATTGACCAAGATCACCAAGCTTGTTGATTGCAAAGGCAGAATTCATATGGCCCAAGTCTATTTCTTCATTATAGTAAATGAATTAGAAAATAATGATTCAACCTAAAACACACACACACACACACACACACACACACAAACACACAACATTTATTTTACCTGTAACCTTTTAGGAATGTAGACCAGTGGTCAGAAATTGCAAAACTTTAAATTGGGCCAGTCCGTTTTGCATTTGTAGGTTGAAGCAGGATAAAAAACAACACTCCCACCGTAGCCATCCACATCTCCCTGTCTCTGGAGTGCAGCTTGTTTAGTCCTATAACAAGCTAATTGGTGAGAGTTGCCACTCTAAAGAGAGAAGAAACCCCTGCTTTCATAATTAGAGCCCTTTTTATTAATAACATGGGTTAGCCCCAAAGGAACCAGGCAACTCTTAAAATGTTTGGTTCCAGTTTATTTATATCACAAGATTTGCTTTTTCTTCTTGACTTTATGCCCTAAATGGAGAATAAAAGTTGTCTTTCAGGATTTGACCCCAGCAAGATTTTGGTGAGCTTGGGGAAGAGGAGTGAACTATATCCTTCATTATTAAGAGGGTTTTACTTAGAACTTTCCCCTCTTGTTTTCAGTTGGAAAAACCAGGCTTGGTGTCTTCTAACAACAAAAGGATATTTGCTTGGGGCTAGGGATGTTTCCTAGAGCGAGTTCTATAAAGAGATCAAAGAGGAAATCGTGAAAAAGAAAATGGAGTTGAAGTCAGTTGGAAGTCACCTAAAGATCACTTTGTGATGATATGTCTTTACAGCTTTATTGAGGTATAATTGACATACAATAAAAGTCCATATAAAGTGTACAACTTGATAGGTTTTGACATACTTGTGAAACCATGACCACAATCAAGACAATGAACACATGCTTCATGCCCCCAAATTTCCTCATGTCCCTTTGTAAGCTCTCCTTCCCACTCCTCCCCATTTCCAAGCAACAGCTGATCTGCTTGTCATCAAAAATTAGTTTGCATTTTGTAGAATTTTATATAAGTGGAATCATATAGTTTATATTATTATTTTTTTTGGCGGGGGGGAGAGACTGTCTGACTTTTTTCCTTTTTTACCCAGAGTAATTATTTGGAGATTCATCCATGTTGATGAGCATATCAATAGTCCATTCCTTTTTATTACTAGGTAATATTCAGTTGCACAACTGTACTACAATTTGTTTACTCATTCATCTGTTGATGGACATATACATTGCTGCCTGGATTTTAATCCAACCCATTTATTTCACTCATGGAGGAACAGAGGGCAAAGGGGAGGAAGTCTTCATAGAGGGGCCTTGGTCAGATCCACAGTGCATATGAGGAATGGTGAGAAAGCAGCCTGCTACCCTAGGAAACTGTGCCAACAGGCCTAACAGCTCGAGGTGCGGCCTGGCTGGTTTTGCTGGGGATGATCATTCTTTTGACATCTCTGAATACATAATAATGTTAGGAATAAAAAAAAAAGATTGTATAGCATTCTGTCTGCATATATTTATCTATATATTTCTCTGTATCATCGATAGACTCCTTTTGTCATAGACAAAGAATACCTTATGTACTTAGTATGTGAATCTCAGAATATAAGGGAAACCAGGTTCCATTCTAGGCCAGTCTTTTCCCATCTCCTCTCTCCTCAGGGACCGAGAGCCTTCAATTATCTCCTTACTCTACCAGTTCTTCAGCTGCAGCCTATAGTCTTGTGCAAGTCCCTCCCACCCCTCAAGCCCCTCCGTTGATCCTGTGTAAGCCTCTAGTTCTCACCTGATTTGTGTTCTTCCTTTTCAAGCAAAGTTCTTCAAAAGTCTTTTCTTCTTTATGTTCCATTCCCTTGTTTTCAGTCCTCAGTTCCTTTCTCCAATGCCCTCGGTGCTGTTGGCCTACCCCTTAATGTTTAAACCTCCCCACCCTTGGCCTCCACGAATGACCCTGTCCCTCCTGGTTTCCCTCCTACTTGTCCAAATGTTCCCCTTGCAGTCTCCATCACCAGCTCATCCTCACATGTTCCTCAGAACTCTATCCTTGACCCACTGCTCTTCTTTCTCTGCCTTCTCTTTCTGGAAACTTTCTTGTGCTCCCAATATTTTAATTAGGTGGTTGTTGATGATTTGACCAAGTGCATATCAATAGCCACGGAGTTACAGACTAGAATAACATCTCTGTGGATGTTGGAGGGGGATATACCCATCATGTCTCAAACTGAACTCATAGTTTTTCTCAAATATGTTCCTCCCAATAAAGGAGTCACCATGCACTCAACCATCCAAGCCAGATATCAGCCCCTACCTTAATCTGCCCCATCATTTAGTTATGTGGTTCTAAATTATTCCTTGACCCTGTACTCTCCTCTCTACACATGGTCCCACTTCAGAGCCTTATCACTTCTGACTTGGATCATTGTAAGACTCTAAGGTTAGTTATCTTGCTCCAACTTGTAGCTTACTCTTAGTCAGTGCATCTTCCACACGGTGCCCCATGTGGTCTTTGTGTACCTTTTCTGCTTAAAAACCCAGTCATAGGCTCCCTGCAGAAAAAAACTTCAAATCTCTTAGCTTGTCATGTAAGGTCTTTATATGATCCAGCTTTTATGATGTTCTTCTGTTGTTTTTCATGTTTCACTAGACCAACTCTTTTATGACCCTTCTAAATGCTGCTTCTCTGCATTTTCACAGCATTTTGTGCATTCCTCTTGCATGGCACTCTCTTGAATCTACTGAAATACTCCGGTTATACATCCGTACTTCTCTCAAGAATATAAGCTCCTGGAGGGCAGGGCTTTGTTTCATGCATCTTTGTG